GAAACTGGCTCAGCCAATACTTTGTATTTTTGACAACCTATGACAACTGTCAACATTTGGTTAACAATAATTATTCCCGATAGCCCGTTTTACGCAAATAGGAAGACTTTAATTTCTCTCTCTATATAATGCTTGTACGCTTTTATTGGATACAACTGTACGTCGTGTTTCTATGTTGCATGGAACAAAATGGAAACATTGTCCTTGGTTACATTTTTTCGTAATCCCATACTATTATTTTGATTTAACGGTATTCATATGACAATTGGAAAGTTAATGTTATAACAGCCTCCGTCCGTTAAGATTGTTTAGCGGTCGGCATCCGTTAACTGTTTCATAACAACACAATATTGGGATTTTTCGGTAGAATCACGGAGGACGTGGTTCATTCTTTCCTCGGAAACAAAATGTAATCTTTCAGTGGGATTACAAAAAGTCTTGAACGACACTTAACGTTAATAACTATTTAGTAATCCCAAACTATTATTTTGATTTAGCGGTATTCAGATCCTGCATCCGCTAAGATTGTTTAACGGCTGGCGGTCGTTAACTGTTCCATAACAACACGTTGTTGGGATTTTTCTGTAGAATGGTGAGGTAAGTGGTATGCTCTTTCCTAGGAATCAAAATGTGATCTTTTAGCGGGATTAGTAAAAGTCATGAACGACACATGGCCGATACGCAAATATCGACCTTATAACGTTAGTAACTGTTAAGTAAACCCATACTGTTATTTTCATTTAACGATATTCTGATCCTGCGTCCGTTAAGATTGTTTAACATCTGCCGGTCGTTAATTGTTCCATAACAACACAATGTTGAGATCTTTTTGGTAGAATTACGAGGTACGTGGTTTGATCATCCCTCAGAATCAAAATGTAATCTATCAGCAGGATTAGGAATAGGCTTGAACGACACATATCTGATACGCAAATAACTGCCTTATACAACGTTAATAACTATTTCGTAATCCCATACTGTTATTTTGATTGACCAGTATCCAGATCCTGCGTCCGTTAAGATTATTTAACGGCTGGCGGTCATTAACTGTTCCATAACAATAGGTTGTTGGGGTTTTTTGTAGAATTACGAGGTATGTGGTATGTTCTTTCCTCGGAATCAGAATGTGGTCTTTCAGCGGGATTAGGAAAAGTCTCGAACGACACATGGCTGATACTCAAATAACGGCCTTATAACGTTCATAACTATTTCGTATTCCCATACTGTTATTTTGATTTAACGGTAACATGTTGGTTTTTTTCTGTAGGAATAAGAGGTACGTGATATGTTCTTTCCTCGGAATCAAAATGTAATCTTCCAGCAGGATTAGGAAAAGTCTTGAACGACACACCGCCGATACGCAAATAACGGCCCCATAACGTTGATAACTATCTCGTAATCCCATACTGTCATTTTGATTTAACGGTATTCAGATCCTGCGTCCATTAAGATTGTTTAACTTAACGGATGGCGGTCGTTAACTGTTCCATAACAACACGATGTTAGGATTTTTTGTAGAATTACGAGGTATACGTGGTTTGTTCCTTTCTCGGAATCGAAGTGTAACCTTTCAGCAGGATTATGAAAAGTCTCGAAAGACACACGCCCGATACGCAAATAACTGATTTGGTTGTTGAAATCCTTTGCTGCGCCTCGGATTGCAATATTCGTCCTCATCCGTCATTTGCTAAATATCGGTCTTGTAACGTTAATAATAACTACGAGAAACAGATTATCTCTGATCCAAAGATTTCTTGTTGCTGTTCTTAGCCAGCTTATCAAACACTGCAACATCATTTTCAAAGTCGAACAACTCGCTAATCGATGGTCGATTTATCAGATTATTAGCCTATTCAAGTAGCGCCCTCATTTTTTATCCCCGTCATCATGTAACGGCTTTTGCCCGGCGAAGGATGATGGAATGAAGAAGGATCGTCCGGGATGGCTCTCCTACATGGCGTGATGGGTAGGGGTAGTTATTCCGGTGTTGTAGCCTTTTTTTTGCGAGACCGAATTGTAGAAGGTCGTGTGTACTCCAGACTCCAGACGAACTAATGAGCCGTTTCAGAAAAAGATAAGAGTTTCTAGTTAATTCGGGATGTCGAAAGTATGTATTTGCACAGGCCGTCGAGGAGAATACTTCATATATACCAAACGGTACTTTGTGTTGTTGTACAATTATACATACCGTAATCAATGGTGGTTGAAAAATGTAAAATTCAATCAATACAAGGATAATATCCTTCCTGCATAAGAAAGGAGACTACTTTTTCTAAACGATCTAACCTAACACAGCTGTTTGCGTAGGCAGTCACGAGCTTGGCTCGCTGTACCAACCGCTTACTACGAAATTTTCCTATGAAGGCGCCAGTACGCAGGTGCTTTTTTGGATCTTTCTGATTGGTCTTTAGGCATCGTCCATACGTATGTATGGACAGAACAACTATTGTCCTTTCTAGGATCTGCGGTGGCCATGATCGGCACCAATCTCCGTTTCGGCAGCTCCAACGCCAAGGTGTTGACAATGTTGCCGCTTCTTAGAATTTGTCTCAAATATTCATGAAAAATGGTATTTAACGAAATTGTCGTGGAGATGAATTTGTTTATCATTCAGTATTAACCCCTGTACTCCACTTTGAGCAACGATGGACTTCTACCAGAGATTAAAAGTGATGTTATTATAAAAAGGTTGCCAATCAAAATTTTTCAATGGAATTTCGTGCCAAACCTAATTGAAGGATGCTGAAAATTAACGAGCAGAACTTCCATTTCAGACTTGGACCTTCGGCTTGAACACTAGGACTTTTAAGTCTGAAATGGAAGTCCTGCTCTTTAATATTCACCCAACACAACAGAAATTGCGATCAGGATCCGGCTTACTTTTAGGACTTGAGTTCGGTCTTCCCTCTGAGTCTGGAAGTATTCTAGTGGTATGTTCGCTTCTTATGAGGCTTTCGACTACAGGAATTTTCCTTCAACTTTCAGCTTGAACACCAGGACTGTGAAGTCTTGGAAATCTCCTTTCCCAATTTTTATTACAAAGGTTACACTTTGGCCTGGAATGTAGTCCATTTCATCTCATTTTATCTTTGAAAATTTTCAGACATTCAATTTGCTCACCTTGTCAATTCTTTCTCACGCTCTGTGGTCACTATGTCACTTGTCTACTTCATACTCATGTTAACTCAGTCATTGCTATTGACACTCAGACTCTGTCAACAATATTATCATGGTTAAAAATGTCACATATTCGTCAGACTAATTAAGGTAAAGGTACCCGACAGAAGGACGAAATCAATTTAGGATTCTCCAGATTATCAATTGGACAGGAAAATCCCAATTATATGGGAATCCAATGCTACAATAAAATTTTCGCAATGAAGGAGTTCAGAGAATGTGAAACAACATTGCTCAAGAAATATCTCAAGAGTTTTTTGGTACAGAAATGCTATTACTCACTGCAGGAATTTCTGAATGATACCTCTGACTGAGATCTACACATTACAAATCATGAGAGTAGTAGGTAGTCTAATTTGCATTATATGCTAGACCACACTGTACAGAATAAGATCTGTTATTTTAATTAGCAAATGATGAAATTATTTTTAAAGAATGTGACATTGTAATTCCGGATTTTATTTTATTTTTACATTATTTTATCATACGAACCAGGTTCTTATTGTACCAATAAGTGAACTAGCTCATCTGTTTGTGACGTGTCCCATAATGTATTGTACTTACCTGTATTGTGACATTCAGTGGACAAAATAAAATTCTATTCTATTCTATTCTATTCTATTCCTCCTGCTCTTCCAGGATCTGAACTGAACAATTTCAAAATGTATTTTTGAAAATTTTACAAAAACCCATTAGGGAACTTTTTTGTTAAAGGTATGTCTGTCCCTAATCCCGTTTGTACCATAATGATGTCGATCACTAATTTTTAGACCTTTTTGTAAATACTTGACGAGTAAGTAATTTACACTTTCGGATTTGTTTTTAGAAATTTTCATAAATATAACTTACTTGCAGGTATAGCATGGCTTTTTAGCCGAAAGGGTTTTGCGATTTTATAATGAATTTTACACGTGATACAAAATCTCTTCATTCTATTGATCAGTTACGTGTAATTAGATTATATTAGATTTAGAATGGGGTCTTCGGGCTATCTGCCTCCACACCGCGACCTTTTCAGATCTATTGTGTCTGCCCTCAAAATTGATTAGAGTTCTTCGGCTAGCCCCGCCTTCTCTATGAGACTACATAGGCTGGCTTTCAGACACCTTGTGTATCTTTGTGCTTCTGGTTTTTCCCCACCCAGCGTAAGAAACCTTAGTCTTGACAAGCCCTCACAGTGGCAAAGTATGTGTACTGCTGTTTCCCCTTCTTCCTGACAGAACCTGCACAGCAGTTCTTCAGTCAGACCTCTCGTACTCATGTGCTTGTTGAGCCTACAATTCTGTTTCTGGCTCAGTAGATATTCTGTGAATGTTGGCGATGGTTTTTTAATAAACTTTTTTGCCTGTCTCATACCTGGCGAGTTGTTCCACCATTCTTGAGATTTGGGTTGCATCCATGATTTGATACTAGTCTTTTGTATAGCTTTCGCAATACCACAGAAGGGTTCTGGGCTATTCAGAGCTTTGTTTGCTCCTGCTCGGGCAAGTGAATCTGCCTCTTCATTGCCCTCGTACCCTGTATGTGCTGGTACCCATGCTAGAGTCAGTCTGTTCTGACTGCCCAGTTTATTTAGGGTTTCTATGCAGTCCCATACTAGTTTTGAGTAAACTTGCATAGATTTGACTGCTTTGATGGCCGCCTGGCTATCTGAATAGATTGCAATGGTTTTGCCTTCAAACTCTTGCCTTATCAATTCTTTCACGCAATGATATATTGCAATATAATATAATAAGTTACGTGTATGCAGCTAGTACAGATCTTCACATATGATAACCACCAGTGAATCCCAAACAATTATTCATCTTTCCAGGATCCGCGGTGGCCATGATCGGCGCCAATCTGCGCTTCGGCAGCAGCGCCGCCAACGGCAGCTCCAACGCCACCAAGGTATTCCAGTGCCACCCGGGCGGGACGGCCGAGGCCGCCCTAATTTTCGCCCTCGGCGCGATGGGCATGGCCGCCAATCTGGCCCTCATGGCCGTCATACTGGCCGACAGGCAGCTCAGGAGGTGAGTCGCCTTGAATCCCCTCCCTTTGATCAATACCAAGAATTCTATATTTTTCAAAAAATTACAAAAGATAACCCCAATGAAGTATACAGGGTGTCTCCGAAATTGGGGCGATGCATGAAATGAGATGAGAAATGAGACATGATCTCACGTTGAATCACAAGAAAAAATTGTTTTGAAAATTCCACACCGATCGATCAATTTAAAGCCTGTATTTTGTATCGGTACCATAGCAACTAAACAAATTTCTTGGAAATTTTCTCCTCCTCCTTGGACAACGGAGGAAGTCAATAAATAAAAATCATTTATCGATAGTTTACCATATATTATGTAGGTATACTTGCAAATTCGAAATTTACGAAAACATGTTGTTACTATACGTTAGTTCTTACATTCCATCACAACAACCAATCATTTTCAACTAAATCATCTAAGTGTTGTTGAAATTCCTTTAAATGGATCGAAAATGTTTGGTGTGGAATTTTCTTACCGATTACCACTTCTTCAATTAATTAAAGAATCAATATCTTCATCACATGGAGAATGCGAATTCCCATTGTATTTCTTTATATATGTATCCATTTTTTTTGTGTATGAATATATCTGAGAATATTCCTTTTTAATATCCGGGAATTTTTGCTCGAACACGAATATTTAGAAAAGTCGTGATCTCGAAAAATTTTCCGGAAATAATTGAAGCTCTCGTGAAATTATAAGAGAAAATTCCATACCAGTATTGTTTACCTAACCAAATTGGTTTTCTTTGGGTATCAAGGTGATGAATCGGAAATTTTTTTGACGTTTCAATGAAAAAATAATATTTTGACGTCCTAAATAGTGATTTTGTGCTACTAAAATGAGTATAAATCAACAATGATTAGGCTAAGAATCCATTGTGCCCAAACTGCATCTATTATATAGAATGTCATACCACTACTGACCATCATCAGAAGGTCACGGAGGTTCGAAAAAAAGAATTTGGAGAAGGAAAATGAGCCCACGAGGGCCTACTTGCTAGGCGGCCGCCTCCCATTTTACTACTATACTACTACTAGTATATGTATGTATGTACACTCGTCTTCAGCGAACATGTCGCGGTTGAACGGTATATTGTCACGAGTAGAACATACGGTATATTAGTAATTTAAAATCATCAGGGTTTCATGAACATTAAGTTAATCGAATCATCCGTTGACATTGAGCTATGAATACTGACCATGGAACTCTCATGAGAAACGTGCAAATCCAATGAAATGATGTATATAAATATTGAATGTGAGGTTTCGAATTGTTTATTCATATTTGTCATCGCTTCCCATAATGTTCCATGCTTCAATAAATATTGTTATCATTGAATATAGTCTCGTACTTTCAGTTACCCCTAAACTATTAGTGCCTATTCGAAAATATACCTCTAGCAAACTATTGAGCCAAGCAAACTCCTTATAAATCGATATGGATGGACTAACCATCTATTTTATCGTGACAATATGAGCGTTCTTATTGCAGCGGTCATCAAAGGAGCTGAAACCAAAATATTAATTGATAAAATTATAATTTTTTCATCACTTGTAGTAACCTGAAGTTGACATAAAATGATATAATATGTTACATTATAAAAAGGTATCTTCATGCAAACTACAATAGATAGAAATTAGAAATTTGTATGAGCCGAAACTGCAAACCAAACTGAATTTATTCATGAACCTATATGCAAATCAAACAAGTAAATAAATCCTAGAATTATTCAATTCTCAAACACAATCTGGTGTGAAATTTTCGAACCGAATACCACACGAAGATGAATAATTTTCCGGGATTTTTTTCTCGCTCATGAATATTTTGAAAATTATTCCTAGTTGAATACCCATGACCTCGAACGTCAGGCAACATTGCAAAAGTCATTGATACTTCCGGTGCTTGTGATCTCGCCGAAAGCTCAACCTTTTGTTGGGCTATTAACAATATTAACCTCTGACCAATGATTCACAGAAGTTTCAGGCAAACTTTGAAGCTCAATATCTTCCGAAATTTGTTTTTCGACAAAGATGTGTTCTTTCATTTCGTTTTGTTTTTTCGTCTCCTGACATCCATTTCATGTATCTGCTGAATTTCGGGAACACCCACTATATATTTGAAATCAGTAGAGAAAAAATAACACATAGATAATTTTTCCATTTCATTACTTCAGAGAAAGAAGTCTGTTTGTTAACTAGAAGGAGATTAGATTCATTCATCTTCCAGTGTCCATTATGAGTCGAGAGCTGAGATCGAGGAAACATAGTGTAAATGTCCCTGTTGAAACAGAAATTCCATGGTCTCCTTAAAAGCCCTTGTGGTATCTGCTCCCCGGAGTATTAGGAAGTGCAATTACCAACTGATGCAAGTTTCAAATTGAGTAAAGAGTGCCGATGAGTCAATTTACCAAAGGAAGAGCACCCTCGAGACATACACAATGGATAATTTCATCTCGCCAACGTCAATCGGATTTCTACATTGGGTGTTTGCTCGAATCGCATGACGAATTTAAAGAAGTTTCAAGAAGAACTCGGGGTTTCCAGTGGGAAAATCTATTTAAGCTCATTACCGGAAACGACTCTATTTCAACATATTGTTACGATAACTTGAATGAAGTCCGGGATCGATTTTTCACAAACACTCAGTAGAAAACTTGAAACTATTTATTCAAACACAAACACTACAATACACGATACAGAATAACAATAACTACGTTTCTTTCTAATATAACTCGAAAAAATTATTGTTACGTTATTCGGGTGCAGAAGCGAACACGACACTATTTATTTTCGAACTGATTTATTTGAATTATAGAAACACTAATTTATAACGAACTTAGAACTACTATTTATGTAAAACGATTTATATCACGCGGTATATAACTGTCTTTCTGACACTCGCTGCTCGACTGACTGACGGCAGTTATTCGGCCGTTTATATATGAGATCACTGGGCAGGCTTTGGTTCGAGAACCTTCTCGAATGATCTTCCGTCTCCTTCTTTTTGTTCTAGAAGCTTCTTAGAACAAACCTCTCTCTCTAATTGTTCCATCGATTGTTTCCAGAACATTCCAGAATCTTCTGTGACGTTATCTGTCACCGCGGCATATATTGAGTGTTCGGAAATATGCTAGTGCATGTAGGAATCATTGGGAGGTAGGAGAGCAATCTGGGATGCGTGATACAGGATGATCGTTGTACTCCTGCCTTCCTGCTGATGTTTCTAAAGCCCCTCCAAGGGAAATATCATTACACTATTTAACAATTCACTATAATAGTCTAAGATTCTATGAACGCCTTCGTTATTTAATATAAAATCTGAGAGTTTCCCAGGACATGCTCTCAACACAGGTAAGGACGATGGGCAAATATGAAGTTTAGTTCATGGTGCCTATGGGAGGTTACAGGAAGCAATAATACCAACTCACTTTCGTCATACTATGAAGGGTAGTTTCTTTATATTTTATTCGGGATGATATTAGAAACCACGTTATCCATTCCCAGACACGTTACCATGGTGCCTACCCTTTGCCAGACACCCTTAAACCTTGAAGAAATGAAACATAACTTTCGTTAAAGTATGGAGGCTGAATTTTTTAGGAAATACTACATATCAATGAACTCCTAGAAAACATACAAAGGGTTTGAGACGACCGACCTCTGTTCTGATGGAGCTGAACATCTCCTCATAACGTTTCATCGCCATTGGTCGAGAAACAAGCTAGGATCCCGCGATTAAACCAAGCCGGGACATATGAAAATGAAATAAGCTTTCTTCCGCCACATTCCGAGTGAGATTTTACGTGATTGCTGATGCCAAAGCAAAAGGCAGGAATCATTAAACATTTATTACCCTGAAGGGTCATTTCGATAGCACTTGTGCAGAGATTGCTCATATCCGAAGATGCTAAGGACATCTGTGGTATTATGGGTACCGTGAATGAATCGTGAAATCAAGAATGAATGAATTAATCATATTATTATCTATACTTGGAGCTCAAGAACAAGTACAGGGTGATTCAAGATTCAGAATTATGATCACCTTCGCCCCTGACCTCTCGTAGTAGCCAGAAATGTTTATTTGGCATTATTCAGTAGGTTTTAAAGTATCTACACTTCCCACTTAATATGACAATGATACGTCAATTAGTTCCAAAGTAGTAGGCACAAATAAACTTTGAATTTTCAAATAAACACCTTGTGACTTAGACACATGTTATTTTTTACACCCGAAAGAATTGACTAAAATAAATATAAGAAAAGTATCCACCAATATGATGATGATTATTATAATAATATGAGTTATTAGATAGAAGCAAGACCTCAGGCTAGTTTACTTTGTCACAATTTGTGTTGTGACGTGTACAGGCACGAATTCAACACTACCCGAAACGTGGATGCCGTGCCATATATGTATGCAAATGCAAGAAATAATTCGTTTGTTGAGAATATTCTATCTGCATTTACAGATCAGGTTTATTCAATTTTCAAGGATGTTCGAATAGTAGTTTCACTATAAAATACAACCACAGACTGACCCATTTGTGTATTCTATGGAATCGATTCGAATTCATTTGGACCAGGCATCAGCTCTAATAGCAAATACCGCGCCAGTATAGGAAAAAAGTGGAAAATGTTAGGTTAGTGAGCAAATCAACATTATCAACAATAATAATAGCGAATATTCATTTCTCTCCAAATTCCACTGTGTTTGACTCGGTTATCAAATGAAGGTGAACAATATCGTTGTGTGAGACAAAAAAGTATTGCTGGCCGTGATTATTCAAAAAGAAGTTATCCAATCAATCGAATCCCGAGAATAACGAATTGACTACAGACCAAATGTTTTGTTTCAATTCATATCATACCAATATTCTCTACTCCATTTCGCAATGTAAATCAGGATAAATGATCCAGCTTTTGATTTATCCATACGGAAATTTGAAACGCTATATTATGTCAATACACGTCGGTGATTTAGAT